AGCTTTCTAATCGCCTCGACCAAAAAGCTCGGACAGTTCTGGGCCTCAAGGACAGCGAAAATCCAGCGATGCACCGCGCTCGGGAACGCAACTTGAACGTCGAAACAGCATCCAGCTGTCTCGCGATGTCCAACGATAGCCCCCCACCCCAATGGGTGCCCGTCTAGCCCCACGACGTTATCAAATAAGCTCCCCCCCCTCGCGAACCCGCGCTGCACTTCATGTGCAGATTGACTGGCAACAGCTTGCAGAGGCAGGGCAACAAATGATGCGAGCATGTTGTTGTCGCTGTTGGAGAGCGCGAGTGGCCTGGCATCTTCCGGGGCTCTACCTTCGAGACCACCGTTTATGAGGTCCCCCTTCGGGGGGAAGACAGAGCGGGAGCGATTGGAGGCATGGTGGGGTAGCCCGCCATGGGCGAGGTGAAGATAGAGGGCGCATAGAGCATCGGCAACCGCACTGCCACCTTTCTTCCAGGCAGAATATGGGATGCCATCTGGGCCCACGGCCGCGTCGCGCTTGTCGTGCAAGCACCTCTTGAAGCCTTCAAAGTCGACTACCCAATCGTGGCGCTGGTGGCCATTCGTGACAAACTGGTCGCCTCTGTCGACGAGCGGGGAAACAAAGCTAAGGGAGTGACTGTTCGCGTCGATGGGCGGCCCCCTCATTCCATCAAACACCTCCCCCAAAAATTCGGCCAGGAGGGCATTGCTTTCTTCGGGGTCGGGGCGGGCAGCGCCCTCGGGGTCTTTTACGGCCGCCAGGCGAAGGGCATGGCGCGATTTGGCCCAAGCAGCTTTCATTCTTCTAACAGGGCCAGCGCGGCTTCTTCCTTGGAGGAGGAGAGCGCGGGGTCGGCGACGGTCTGTTGCTCAATCTTACGGAGGTGCCCTTGTTGGAGCGAGCGGAGGCGAGCATGAAAGCCACGCCAGTCGGTCCAGAGCCCAGCGTGTACACAATAAAACTGGGCGAGATGCTCACGGCCATGCACTGCTCTGCGCACCTGCCGGCCGTCGCCACTGCGATCAGCTCGCAGCAGCTCGAGGCAGCATGCTACTTTTGCTTCTACACTAGCAGCCCCTTTTTGTTGGACAGATTGCTTGACCTGAGAAGCAGCGAACCTCACGTATGATTTGATCTCCTCGATGCGATCGGGCGGGAGCGAGTCGATGGGGTTATTCTCGATGAGCTCACTGAGGTATAGTTTGAACATAGTGTGGGAAGTAATCCAGGAGGGAATGTTGTTGGGGATAATGCCAGACCATTTGTTTAGGCTAAGGTACGCGGGAGCGTGATCTGAAGGCCTCCAGAGGTCCGAAATTCTCCATTCCGTAGTACTGTGGGGTTCGTAATCTAGAAGCTCACCAGTAGGTAAGTTTATGTATCGTATATCTAATCGTCCGTAACTAGCTTGTCCATTCGCAATTCTCCGATGTGTATAGTCTACTTGTTCAACTTCATAGAATGTAGGAAAAACTTGATCAAATATCTGGGATAGCCTGACGAGCCTAAGTCGCCCTTCCCCCGTTTCGACGGAGAAGCGACCTTCACCTGAGATGTGGAAGTTGAAGTCGCCCATGATGATGACAGTAGAGTGGGAGAGGAGGCGCTGCTTAATCAGGAGGAATGCCCGTCTGACTGCGTGCTCATTCCACCCAGGATCGAAATGCACGTTGACAATCTGCACTGCGCCGCGCTGGTTGCGGAGCGTGAGCGAGGAAATGCGGCCAACGATGGGGTCGTCAAGTGTCTGGCCGCCAAATTCAAACAACAGCGACCGCGTCGCACCCGTGACGACACCGCCCGCAGACTGGTCCAGGAACGATCCCCAGAAGACGAAGTCCCGATGATCTCTGGATAACGTATTTGGGCCCCCTTGGCGCCCGTGGGTTTCTTGAATGCTCATCACGGCGTGCTTCTGGAGGAGGCGAGAGAGGGCAGAATATGTGCCGCGCGCCTGCTCGGGCTCCGCATGGAGCGAGCGCCCGCGCGTTCCACGAGCAACAACTGATGCTCCTCTGGAAGGCGAATTGTTTTACTGGTGCAGGGGGGGGGGGGGGGGGCAGCGGAGGCGAAGAGGGGAGGTCAGGTGACTGGTGCTGCTCACTAAATGGCTCAGTACTCACTGCAACCCCTGCAGTGACCCTCGAGCATTGTGCCCTTGACGGTATTTCCTAGATGTAGTCGCGCTCCCTCATCTCCATCTGCCCCTCGTCGAGTATGGCCTGCGCGTCCTTGTCTGAGATGTTCCAATATTTGCACGTCCCCTCTTGGTTCTCGAACTTGAACGCGTCCTTGCCCTGCGGGCGATGCGCGACCTTCAGCTTGATCAGCTCCCATAGGTCGTCGCCGTCGGTGATGGGCAAGTGTTTCTTGTAGCCATTGACCCTCAGCTTGCATGTGGGTGCCCACTTGGGGCTTTCTTGGAAGAGGTTCTCCAGCGGCTTGTAGATGGTGCTGGAGGCGCGGTTCTTGTCCTTGACGTCCACGGGGAGGTCGCCACGTACTTTGATCTTATATACCTCGCGGCTTCTCGGATCCACCCACTTGAGGCCAGCATTGCTGGCGGTAAGCTGGAACGCGCGGGCGTCTGCCGCGCTGGGAAAGAGCAGGCTGAACGCTTGCGAAACTTCATGAAAATCAGCCACGACTTGATCTCCCAGATGTTCTGGAAATGCACCCTTCAATCACTCGTAATATGCAGATCTCACCTTCTTGGATACGGGGCGAGGCCAGGTCCCAACCCGGCGACGACGTTCAGCATCTGGACGTCTCTCACCCCTGTTCCCCTCAGCTCGAAAACGTTTATTCCCATGCGATTGTTGTGCCGAAGAGCTGTCCGCTGAGGAGGTAGCTGTACTGCTTGCACTCGCAGTCTGGATCCTCTTGAGCTCGCTGTTGGTGTTCGCAATCTTCTCCTCCGCCGCAGTGATCTGCTGGTTCTGTCTGTTCAATTGCTGCTTCAGTGCGGCCAATGTTGCTTCTTGCTGTTGAACAGTGGTGCCGATGGCCGAGACATCCTGCTGAATTGAGGAAATCTGCGTCGTGAGCGGCGTGGGCAGGTTGGACTGCATCTGCGCCAGCATCGACTGCAGTCCTGCATATGTAACGGGCCCTTGCTCATCATGCGCCAATGCAGACTGCTGCAGTGGTGAGCGAGGGTGGTCTCGAGCTTCCGCTCGAGAGAAAGTCTCTTGGCCCCAGCAGCGCGCAGCTGGACTGGGGTTGCCTGAATCGAGAACTAGCCTCGGACTAGAGGCATCCGTTTCCAGCCCGAGGGACCAAAACATCTTGAGCCAAAACGGCTACGGAGGGGCCGGAGGAGGAGGAGGAGGAGGAGGAGGAGGAGTTCCACGTAGGGTAATTGTTGGTTTGAGAGGTTTGGGTTGGAAGAGGTGCGCGCCGCCGCCGCCGACCCGCAATCCACTCTCTTCGCTTCCTCCCCTTCTGCGTTCGGTCCTCGGCTCGTCCGTTCGTGGCCCCTTTCGCCCTCCTCTTTCGGGCCCCCATCCGCCCCCCCCCCCCTCGCCCCTCGCCGGCCCCGCCAACGGCCGAGCGTGCCATTTTCAAGAACGCCCCCCATCGCTCGCCAGACGGTGGGGCAGGGGGGCATTGCAGCGTCCGTGGGGCTCTCATGCCGCCGGCGTCTCAGCGCCTCAGGATGATGATGAGGAGGATGACGATGATGGGGAGGAGGAGGAGGAGGGTCCCATCACGCGGCAGCTTGCCCTGGATCACTCCGAGACGTGGAAGCCTCTGAGATACGTGTTGGAGTCTCCTGGAAAGCCTCTCGGGAGGCTTCACGAATAATGCTTTATCTTGCAAGTCTATGTTCTAGGGCTTGGACCTCATTTTTGTTGGCGTGGTCGTGGTCGTGGTCCGTCCTCCCCCCCCCTGGCCCTGGCCCCTGCCCCCCTTCTGGCCCTTGCCTCAGCCCGTCCTCTGGCCCTGGTCTGGATCCCCCCCCCCCGCCCTGGCCTCGGACCTCGTTATCTCCGTCGCGTTCGTCGTCGTTCGTCCCTGGCTCTGGCCCCAGCCCTCCCCCCTGGCTCTGGTCCCAGCCCCCCACTGGCCCTCGCCTCAGCCCATCCCCTGGCCGTGGTCTGGGCCCCCCTGGCCCTGGACATCTTTAATCGTATGCGCAGCTGTGTTCTAGAGCTCGGAGCCCTTTCTGTCAGTCGCCCTTCGCTCGTTCGCTCGCCGCCCCCCCCCCTTCAGGCCCCCCCTGCCCCTGCCACCTCACGATGGCCATGATGGCCCTACAGGAGAACACCAGGATCGCCCTAAGAACGACCCCCCTCCTCACCCCGCCTCGCCCAACCCTCGCCCTCCCCCGTGCGCGAGCTAGGGGATGCGTGCCACTTGGTTTCGTCGTGGTCGTAATCGTGGTTCGTCCTCCCCCCCGGGCCTCCCTGGCCTTCTCCCTTCTCTTTCTTGATCTTGAACCGCTGGAGGCAATAAAAAGTTACGAAGGTCAGTCAACACACAGCCAACTCGATCAGCTTCAGCCCCTGCGCAGGCACCAGCCTAACAACCCCTACCGACGGTGTCAGGGCCCCGACAGCTGGGGGGGGTGCTCCACGGGGCCCTAAGGCACCCCCTCAGAGGGGAAGGCCCCTCGGGGCGCCTCTTCGGGCACCACCCCGTGACAAAAAAAGAAAGCCGAACTTACCTCGAAGATCTGCCCTGAAAGCCGCGGCCGCGGGCTCTCCCTCCATCCCGCCCCCCGCTCCCACGTCCACGACGACCCCCGCGACCCCTCCCCCTTCCTTCATCAGCAGGCGGCTGGATCCTAACCATACCGCCTCCGCTGAGAAGCTGACTGCGTCTCTCACTCAGCCTCCATCCCTCAGCTACAGACAAAAAAGCAGGAGGCCGAGCCGAAGGATCACTGGAGGATGCCGTACTCACCCTCCCAGGAGCAAACAACATCTGGGGGGCCGAAGTCGGCGCTCTCGCAGTAACCTGCTCACCACCACACCTCGGCCCAGCAAGAGGCCCCTTACTCAGCGCTTGTTGAGGATCGCAGAGATCTCCCTCTCCTCCCTCACCCTCGGGGCCGATCCGATCACCTCCTCCGCCTTCGACTCCACCAAGATTTGCTCCAGGATCTCCACCGCCGCCTTTCCCGCCTCGAGGTGCTCTTCGAACCTCATCACAAACTTCGCCTTGCCCTCCATACGCTTGGACTTCTGGCCCTTCGGCTGGCTGATCTGGAAGTGCTTCACATAGCGTGCCAGCTGCACCTGTGTTTTGCCCTCCACGTGTGCCGCGATGAAGTCCGCCAGAACTTGCACCGCTGGGCCCACCGCCTTCTGCTTTGCCACGTGCATCACAGCGTAGTGCACCGTGAGGAACGGTGGGCCCAGCGCGTTGTGGTCCACCGTCTCTCCGTTCTTCTCTGCTTCCTTCAGCGCCTCGACCCTGGAGTTGTACTCTTTGTTGCTCCGCAGCCCAGCCTTCACGAGCCACGCCTCCTCGTTCACCAGGAAGTGCCTGTACAGGCTGCCCTTGATCAGTGCCGTGTCGCGCGCCGTCATGAGCGAGAGGCGCGCCGTCAGCGGAGCGAGGGCGTCGACGTCGCTCCTGGACTTCGTCCTTCCCTTCTTCTGCACGGGCTCGACCTCTGCGGCACCTCCCTCTGGTCGACGTGTAAGCTGTACGCTGCCTGACCACTGCGGCAGCTGGAGCTGCAGTTCGTCTTCTCCCGACATGTCTGGCAACACGCGCAACCGGCACAAACGGGAGATGCGTGCGAACGTGTGCGTGCCATTTTCAAGAACGTCCCCCATCGCTCGCCAGACGGTGGGGCAGGGGGGGGCATTGCAGCGTCCGTGGGACTCTCATGCCGTCAGCGTCTCAGCGCCTCAGGATGATGATGAGGAGGAGGAGGATGATGATGATGAGGAGGAGGAGGAGGGTCCCATCACGCGGCAGCTTGCCCGAGATCACTCCGAGACGTGGAGGCCTCTGAGATACGTGTTGGAGTCTCCTGGAAAACCTCTCGGGAGGCTTCACGAATAATGCTTTATCTTGCAAGTCTATGTTCTAGGGCTTGGACCTCATTTTTGTTGGCGTGGTCGTGGTCGTGGTCCGTCCTCCCCCCCCCCTGGCCCTGGTCCCTGCTCCCCTTCTGGCCCTTGCCTCAGCCCGTCCTCTGGCCCTGGTCTGGATCCCCCCCCCGCCCTGGCCTCGGACCTCGTTATCTCCGTCGCGTTCGTCGTCGTTCGTCCCTGGCTCTGGCCCCAGCCCTCCCCCCTGGCTCTGGTCCCAGCCCCCCACTGGCCCTCGCCTCAGCCCATCCCCTGGCCGTGGTCTGGGTCCCCCTGGCCCTGCCCTGCAACCCCTTATGTTCGTCGTGGTCGTAATCGTGGTTCTTCCTCCCCCCCATGGCGTCCCTGGCCTCCTCCCTTCTGGGCCGCGGAACTGACCCCTGGCCTCCCTGACCTCCCCCTCCCTTGGCCCTGGAACTGTTTATTTCCAGCCATCCTGCAATGTCGGGTCCTCGTTTTGACGAGACAACGCCCCGCGTTCCTCACTCCTCCTCCTCCTCCGCCTCCTCCGCCTCCTCCTTCTCCTTCTTCTTTTCCTTCTCCTTCTCCTCCTCCTTTTCCTTCTCCTTCTCCTTCTCCTCCCCCTCTCTCCCTCCCATCCCTGCCAGCGTCCTCAACATGTCCATTCCGGCACACTCCTCACATATTCCGTTGCCCCATGGATAGCTCCACCGAAGGCCCCAGTGGCAGCGTTCGCATGGCGGTCCCGCGCTGATTTCGGCACACCCTTCACACGTTTCGTTTCCCCGTGAGGAGCTCCACCGAAGGCCCCAATAGCAGCGTTCGCATGGTGGCCCCGCGCCCATCTCGCCACACCCCTCACACGTTTCATGGCCCCGTAGGGGGCTCCACCGAATGCTCCAGTGACAGCGTTCGTATAGCGGCCACGCACCCTTTTCGGCGCACCCTGCAAACATGTCGTGGCCCCGTTGGGAGCTCTACTGAGGTCTCCAGCGGCCCCACACCCCCGACACGTTTCGTGGCGCCATGATGCCATTGCAACTCCACCGAGTGCCCCAATGGTAGCGTTCGCATGGCGGCCCCGTGCACATTTCGAGACTCTCCTCGTACATGTCGTGGCCCCATGGGGAGCTCCACCGAAGGCCTCAATGGCAGCGTTCGCATGGCGGCCCCGCGCCCGTGCCGGGACACCCCTCACGCGCTTTGTGGTTCCACAGCGAGCTTCCCCTCCTTCGTCCAACCTGCTCTGCGGTACCCACGCCTGCATCTGATTGGGTCTCTCGCCAGGATAATTCTGGCCGTGGTCGTGGTTCGCCCTCCCCAATGACCTCCCTCGCCTCCTCTGAGCCTCGGAGCCCTGCATTCTCGCCGTGGCATGGTCGTTCGTCCACCCCCCCTGGCCACCTCCCTTCTAAGTCGCGGAACCCACCCATGGCCTCCATCGCCTCCCACCCCCTCCCCAGGGCCCCGGAACCAGATATTTTTCACAGTCGTGGTCCGTCCTCCCCTCCTGGCTTTTTTGGTCTCATCCCTCCTGGGCCGCGGAACCCGCCTCTGGCCTCCTTGGTCTCCCTCGCCTCCCCCCCTGGTCCCTGGAACCTTTTATTATAAAACTTTTATTGCTGCGTGGTCGTGGTCCGTCCTCCGCCCTGGCTTCAATGGCCTCCTCCCTTGTAGGCCGCGGAACCCGCCCCACGGTTCCCCTGGCCTCCCCCCATGGGCCTCGGAACCCGTAATCTCGTCGTGGTCGTGGTGCCTGCTCCCCCCCCCTGGCCTCCATGGCCTCCGCCCTCTTGGGCCGTGGAGCACATCCCTGGCTTCCCTGCCATCCCCTTTCCCACCTCCCTGGGCAGATGCACCCTTTGTTTTCGTGGTGGTCGTGGTTCGTCCTCCCTCGCCTGCCCCCCCCTGGCCTCGTGGTCATCCCCCCCGGCCTCCCTGCGCCCCGCCCTCCCCCTCCCTTCCCGGCCAACGTGCCGTGGTTTGCCCTCCCCTGGGTTGATTGTTAATTACTAAACAATTGTTATTGTTGGACCCCCCCCAGGCGCTTTGGCGCTCTCGCCTCGGCGCCAGCTACATGTTCATTGAAAATGAAGTTCACGCTCGAGCGGTTTGGGGGGGCGTAAAAACGGGCCCCCCAACAAGAACAACAACGCTCCCGCTCGAGACTTCCGCCTTTTTCACTCACGGCCGACGCTCTTGCTCGCCGCCGAAAGCCGCCGTCCCAACAAAACCAGCGCTACCGCTCGAGACCTCTTCCCGATTTACTTTGGGTTGTTGCGCTACTCTTTCTATCATCGGCGCCGCACCCAGCAACAACAACGCTCCCGCTCGAGACTTCCTCCCTTTTGTACTCAAGGCGGTGCTCCTCCTCGCCGCCGAAAACCGCCTTCCCGACAAAACCAGCGCTCTCGCCCGAGACTTCCTCCCGTTTTACGCTGGATTACCGCCCTACTCTCTCTTGAATTGGCGCCGCTCCCAGCAAGAACAACGCTCACGCTCGAGGCTTCTTCCCATGTTCCTCAGGACGGTGCTCTCCCTCGCCGCCGACAACCCCCGTCCCGACAAAACCACAGCTCCCGCTCGAGACTTCCTCCCTTTTGTACTCAAGGCGGTGCTCCTCCTCGCCGCCGAAAACCGCCTTTCCGACAAAACCAGCGTTTTCCCGTTTTACGCTGGGCTACCGCCCTACTCTCTTCAGCATGCGCGCCGCTCCCAGCAACAACAGCGGCCTTGCTCGAGACTTCCGCCCTGTCTATTCAGGACCAGGTCCTTGCTTCGCCGCCGACAGCCTCCATCTCCACCAAGGCAATCCTGTCGTTCGATACTTCCTTGTGCTTTACCCTTGACTGGGGCTCCACAGGCGGTCTTGCATCGGCGCAGCAAGGCGCGGGTATGCGTTTTCGAAGCGGGATCTGTTGAAATTATTCGGAGGAGGTGTTTGCAAGACCTCATTGGGCGGGAGATCTGGGAATGGGAATAACGGACCCCGCTATAAAACAAGAGTCCCCCTATGATGGGGATGGTTACCATGATGGTCGCATGTTTCGCGTGGAAACATCGCGCATGAAGGTAAACTGATTGTTGTTATGGTTGAACTCTCATGGCTGAACAATCACTCTTGTTGATCGCCCTTCCGGTGACTATGGTGTTTTTCAATTGAAGTACTTATCCCGGGGGTCGCACACACACACACACACACACACGCACATATATGTATATATACACATACATATACATATACATATACATATACATATACATATACATATACATATTCGTCTCAGTTCAAACTGGGTTGTTGGCCCCCCAGATTACAACAACAACAACAACAACAGCAACAGCAACAACAACAACAACAACAACAACAACAACAATCATTTTACCCGAACGCTCAGTGTTCTCACCAATGCCAGGGTTTTCATGCGACGCGAGACAATACCCCCACTTCGTGGGGGGGCAGTTCAAGCTCTACCAAATATCCAAACGACTCTTCGCGACCACCCAAACCCAGCTTCCCGCCCTATGACGTTGGGACACTTCACTTCGTGGCGTGCGGACGACCGTGGCTACTACACTGGCGTGGGGTACACACCCACAGAACTTGGTCACTTATTCGGGGCGCGCGTGTGCCCAGCATCCTGCAATTGTGACATACAATACATGACACAGACAGACAGAGAGAGAGACAGAGAGCAGACAGAGAGAGAGACAGAGAGAGCGGAGTTGGTCACATTTTTGGGGCAAGTTCCTGAGATCGTCGTGTTTTTTGTTGGTCTTGCGCGCGCGAATGTCCACTTTACTTTTTTTTTGCAAGGGAGTATTGAAATTTGATTATGTTAGAACAAGAAAAAGTAGCTCGCGCGAGCTCATGTAACATAAATGTTGAAAAACCATTGGTTTTGTGGGAGTCGGACAGCGCGCGCGGGATGAAATTTGGACATTTTTTTTTGAAAAACCATTGGGTTTTTGATGTTTTTATGTTGAAATCGTTACGAAACCTAAGGTTCTGGAAGGATTTCGTCTTGCGCGCGCGAATGTCCACTTTACCTTATTTTTTGCAAGGGATTATTGAAATTTGATTATGTTAGAACAAGAAAAAGTAGCTCGCGCGAGCTCATGTAACATAAATGTTGAAAAACCATTGGTTTTGTGGGATTCGGACAGCGCGCGCGGAAGGACATTTTGACAATTTTTTCTTAAAAAACCATTGGGTTTTTGATGTTTTTATGTTAAAATCGTTACGAAACCTAAGGTTTTGGAAGGATTTCGTCTTGCGCGCACGAATGTCCACTTTACCTT